CCCAACAGACTCAGGAAGAACTTTTGCCTCTCCCTTAACTGCCTAAAGGAGTTAAGATAGGGGGCCTGGCTGGCCCAGAAAGAGAGCTTTACTGGAGATAACTTTATCTGGCCTATCTGTACGGTCGTGGCAAACATCTAATTACCACACATCTGCTCCTTTTATCTTCCTGAGAATTGCCCTCATCCTCTCTCAAGCCCCAGGCCCCTGTCCAACTCCTTAGCTCAGGATGGCATATAAGCCTCAATTGGCTGACCTGCCTTTGAGTTTCATATTTTTATGGGGCTTCCCCATACACACAATTAATTTTTTTTCCTGTTAATCTATTGTCAATTTAATTATTAGACCAGTCAAAGAACCCAGGAGAGATAAAGGGAAAACTTTTCCAGCCTTTCAACAGCAGAAGAAATGGCAGGACTTTACCTAATTTGGACTTTGCCCTGAATCTCAAAGGGGATGCACTTCAAAGATGAAGGCCTTCGGGGTGCCTGGGTGGCGCAGTCGGTTAAGCGTCCGACTTCAGCCAGGTCACGATCTCGCGGTCCGTGAGTTCGAGCCCCGCGTCAGGCTCTGGGCTGATGGCTCGGAGCCTGGAGCCTGCTTCCGATTCTGTGTCTCCCTCTCTCTCTGCCCCTCCCCCGTTCATGCTCTGTCTCTCTCTGTCCCAAAAATAAATAAACGTTGAAAAAAAAAAAAAAAGATGAAGGCCTTCTCACAGGAAGAAAACCCCTTATAGATTCGTACTCCCAACCTGGGTCACAAGTAGCTCACTGGCCCTCAGGTGCACACCCATTTCCTTTGGGAAAACTCCATTCCCATCCACACCCTCCCATTTGGTCTACAGAAACCATCTGGGTCTTCACAAAATGGTTAGCGACTCCGGTTGCTGTTTAAGCCTCACAAAACAGCCAGAAAGGAGGGCTCCTTGTTGTGTGGAGAAGGGTAGTAGACCTGAAGTCAACTGGTCAGATTCATTTTCCATTATTTCTACCATGGTGAGCTACAAGAATGCTCATTCCTTCACCTCTTACATTGTGTTTGCCAGTGTTACCCAATGGCCACATTAATTTCTGGGATGACACAATGTAAATTGATATTGAGAAGTGTTTCCCAAATTTGCAAGATGTGTTTCTTCCTGTCTTCCACTTTCTCCCACTTCTCCCCTTCCCCTTGAGGCAGTAAGCCCCATTTCTGTGCACAGTGGTGTTTTGTTTCTTTCCGACTCTGTCCTCAGTTGTAGGAGGAGAAGACTGCCGGAATAGTAAAGGAGCTATATTACCCCAGGGCTATTCCCATCCCCCTCAGGCCTTTTGTATGTGGATGGGGTGGGGAGGTTGCCAGTTCCTGCGGTAGCCCATAGATTTTTGGCTGCAGAATAGTCCAGAGTTATCATTAAATCATTGTATTTTAGCCACTTGAAGGAACCACTTAAAGCAGATTCTGACGTGCAGAAGACCAAGTGTTAAGGATCAACAGAAGTTTGAGCAAGATTCAGTAGCACACTGGGCCTTTTTGTTGTTTGCCACATACAGGCCTGATTAAGGACAACATGAAGCATTCAGAGCAGCAGTTTACACTAATCTTTGCCCCTGCGCAAAATCTTAAAAAACACCCAACCGTTTTTAATGTTGGTTCTAGGAGGGTAGTGTATTCATAGAGCACCCACATAGAAAGAGCATTAGACTCTGGAAGTTTGGGGAAGAGATGAAAGGCATGCTGGATGGTGTGACAAGGAACAGGCTCTGACCTGGATATTTTGAGGACGAGAGGATGAATCCCCATGGAAAAGGCCCACAGGCTGTGTATGGAACATGCAGGAAGACATAGGCTCTCAAAGTCCATTAGGTCATGATTAAGCATGTCAAACATTTTGATCCTGGAGCAGCAACCCAAGAAAAGAATGTAGTAGTATGAACAGCCTCATAAAGATGCCCAGCCAAAAACCACCTACATCCGTTTTGAAGCCCAGTGCACAATGAAAATGTGGGGGTCCTTTGTTCATAAATTATTAAGAATTTGAAAACAGTGACAGCAGAGGATTAAACCAAGCACCGGGACCCTTCTGTGTGCAGAGCCTTGTGTGACCACATAGCTGCCTATGAAGTTGGCCCTGTGTCTCCAGTAGAGTCGATCCAAATGTATAGGGTGCTGAATCATCAGAACTCTGCTCATTCATTTTACATAGCAGTCAGACAGAGGATTTTGCCTTCTCCACAGAGCAGCATGGCAGCAGGAGAAAAGGGTGGGCTGGACCTCCCTTGGGTCCACTCTGAACAAAGATGTCTTCACTCTGTGGTGGAGACTATTTTCCTGTTCCTCTTCCTTCCTCTCCTTCAGGGGTGGAGTCCCTATTTTAAGCTATCTGCTAGTATCTATGCCTGGTCTGGAGCTGCCTTGGTTCTGTGAAAAGGTTTCCCTTACACATGATTTCTTTCCCGCCTCCCTTCTTCCTAGCAAACACATAGCTCTTTAAAAGATTCTGATTTTTTTTCTTTTGGCAAGTTCTGTGGGCTTTTATTAGATATACACTGTAATTCCAAACTGTGATTACATGATGTCTGGCTTTCCCTGAACTCAAATTTAATATCCTGAAAAATGGGAAGCTTTATTGCAAGGCTGAGGTATACCAGGAGTGGGGGACCCGGGGGTGAGTGCTTGAGGGTCTGCTGATTGCTTTCAGTTCACCTCCTAAAATCACTAGCTGGCTGTGGTTTGATACTTGTTAACCTCAACTTTGCCTTTTAGATGGACTTTTTCATCCTCTTGAGTTTATTATACAATGGTTGTAAACATTTTTCTAAAAAGACAAATTATTTATAGCTCTACAACCTTAATACTCCAACTGTTTTCACTTTTCTGTGTTCTCTTATTGTCTGGGATTATATTTTTGATTGTTACATTCACAATGGAGTTTTAACTTTTTGTTCTGTAGTTGAGTTTTAATTCCTTTTACACTCATAAAGGTAAAACACATTTATAAACTTAATGAAGATGAATGAACAATAAAGCACACAAGAAGCCTTAGAATTGCCTGCAAATGGAAACCAAAGCAATAATCATTTAGAGGCAGAGAGCCTAATAAAATAGAGCTGAAGTGATCTTAGCTGTTACCTGGTTCTGTGCCTTTATTTTACAGAAAAGGAAACTGAGACACAAAGGTTAAATGACCTGCCACACAGCTCCTAGGGACAGCCAGGACTAAACAGTCTGCAAATGACTGTCTTTTTGTTTGTCTTGTTGTTTTTTTACATACGCTGAAGAGTCCTATTTCTGCACTAGTGTGGGACGTAAGTTCTCTGAGTGTCTGTCCTTCATTTGTGATATGGGGGAGTTGCAAGAGATGCTCTTAAAAATTCTTCCAACTCAAAACTTTGAATTCAGCTCGAAATGAACACAATTGGACCCCTGCCTAGTCAGCCCAGAACTGCTATTACACACATCATGAAAAATGTGGTACCAGTTATAACAGTCACTATTTTAGCTAGATGTGTTGTACAGTGGCTCACCAGATCCTTAGGAGAACTTAAGACTGGATCTGAGACAAACGTGCCAGCACGTCTGCTGCCAGACTGCTCCATGAGCCAGTGGCGTCGTTTTAAAATTATTTACTCAGAGAAAAGCCAGAGTCTTAAGCAAACAAATGGAGGGATGATCCTGTTCTGAGTGGAGCAATCATCCCCTTTGGCCTTGCAGAGCACTTTTGTTTGAATATAACTTACTGTCAAGTTAGTTAACACACAGAGTATACAGTGTATACTTAGATACAACACGCAGTGCTCATCCCAACAAGTGCCCTCCTCGATGCCCATCTCCCATTCCCCGCCCCCTCCTCATCGATCCTGTTTGTTCTCTTATGGTTTGACTCCCTCTGTAACTATTCAGAGCACTTTTCAAGCGGAGAGAGGCCCCCTCTACTGGTGAGATTCATCATCCACCAAAAAGTCGGAATTTGTTAAGTTTATGAGAGATGGTGGCGGGACAAATCAGAGGATCAGAACAGATTAGAGTTGTAAGGAAATGTGAATACCTAGTCTAAATTCTCAACTTTTCAACCAAGGAAACAGAGATCTAGAACGTTTAAACTTCTCATAAATGTGTTAGGCAACATTCTACTGAGGAAATTTTCACAGTAGGTAGCAAAAATCTCTGTATTCAAGTGTGAAGTTAGGTTTCTGAAAATAGAAGCCCTTGACAAATACTACTGAATCAATTATAGGTAAAAATCCCACTTTTTAGAGGGAAGAGGGGAGTTCTTCCACACCCTCACATGGAGTTCTGTGCTCCATTTGTCTAAACTAGGTATCTTAAAACTCTCGTCATTCAAGTACTACTGACATCTTCTTGCCACAGCCAACTCCGTGCTGTGTCTTATTTAATATTTTTCTTTCAATTAAGTTGTTTTTTATTTTAGCCTCATCTCATGCAGAATTCATGAAATTTTGATGTTTGTGTGTGTGTACACGAATGCAATAAAATAAATATATGGCTATTAAAAATATTCTTCTGTGTGCCAACTAAATTCATCTCCTCATTTAATTATTGTGTGTGTTTACCACGCTTTACGAAATACTGAGATAAATCTACTTCATGTTTAAGTCATGTAAATACAGTAGTCATAATTTCATGTTTTCATTAAAGGCAACTTTTTTTCTTTCTTCGCCAGGTCTTTCCTTCATGCTTTACCCTCTGTCATGAATCTTCCTTCATTCCCATTTCCATTCTCTCAAAGTCCTTTGGTTCAATATTCATATTTCCTCTTCCCCAGTGAGGTGAGGAAAACTTTCCCTCTGTATTGCCCACTGGGGACCCTGCTTCATTTGATACGAACTCCAGGAAACCGTATTGAAACAAACTGGTAATTGACAGAAGGAATAAAAAGACCTTTGTATTCTTGTCTTTTTCTAGGAATTGGGACTTGAGGAATATTGAAAAGTGATGTTATTTCTATTTCATCCTTAGAGTCAGTCTTCTCTGAGGAAATGGCACATAAACACAGAAAGTCCAATTTATAAAAACACATTTAATAAATTATTCCTTGAGGAATATAATGGAGAGTCTGTTTTTGTTTCGGGCACTGCGAAAGCTGTAATACCTGTAGGGGAGAAGGAAGATGAGAAAAAGGCTGATCTTCATGAAATCTTTTCCCTTATTAAACATTCCTGTGTTATTAATTCAAGCTTTGTTTCTTCAGTAATAAAGGCGACCATTATACATTTATTGCTGAGTGAATACACTCAATTCCCAGCTAGTTATAGCTTGGTACCATTGTGAACCCCCCGTTATTTACAGTGGATTATTTGTATTGAAGGTGATCCGTATAAGATCTCGATTGAAACCTCTTGTCATTGTAATCATTTTCTTTGCTTTAACTTATTATATCGTTTCTGTTGGCCCTTATTGAAAAGTGAATAAATAGCCTTTTGACACATAATTTAAATTTTGGGGCAACTTTATCCCTAAAGATCTCAGAAAGAGTTGCCTCAAATGTAAGCTGTTTTATAAGGATTTCACTACATAAAGTTATAAAAAAAAAGTCTTCTTCCAAAGGAATGGATTTCAGTGACTGAATTCTCCTTTTGGTAACATTTGCAAAGTAGTTTCAGAATCATATAGAAAATTTATACAAAATAGCCTGTGAGAACCCACAAAAATGAAAACTAAAGTTACAGCAATGTAATTCTATATACCTTCTTATTCTGGGAAAATTTAAGCACTATTCAATCCTAACAACAATTGATCTTAAAAACATTAAGACTCCAGAACCCATAGGGAGGAATGGGTGCTCTGCATTTACTGTGGCTCCCCAAAAGGTTCTTTCTGATGGCAAACAGATGGGAACCCCACAGAGAGTCAGATTTCCGCTGCAACTATCACAGGGCTATACCATGCCTTTGAAATGACATCAGCCAGGAAAACAGTGACTAGAGTTTCAGATTTCATAGAAGGATTTTGCCTTGCTCTGTGTAGGCCCAAAGATAGCAGGAGGGGGCAATAAATTCTGTCTGAGAACCTCTCCTGGTAGATGTTTAAAGAGATTATATGAGTAAATCAACTGTCCCAATCCCCCAATGTGATATGGACCATCCGATTTGAATTTGAATTTTCTCCGTCTTCCTTCTAGAGAACTGATGTAAGCCAACAACTCAGGATAAGTTGGGCCTGATGGGTGGAATGCTGTGCTGTGGAGATTATAAAAAACTAAAGTATTTATTTTTTATGAAGCTTTTCCTATAACGAGGTTTATGACTGGAAAGGGCCAAAGCTGAAATAGTGCAGTACCTGGATTAGCATTTCTCACTGGAAAAAAGATTAGGTTGCCTCACTTTAACACTTAGGTTTACTATATATGAATAAATGCTGCCATTGTTTTCATTTTCATTTTTATGCTATTATTATTGACCTTTTCCTGAAACAACTTACATGGATGTGGAGGAAATTCTAAAATTGAGGAATATATTTTCTGTATGAGTCACGATATGCATTGGTGTTTATCTTGTGGTTCTGCCAAGAAACAGTGAGCAAGCTTGGACTTAGGGCAGCTCATTTGGGTAGAGCAATGTAATTCTCCATTTACTTCTACCTAAGTGAATGCTCTCCCAAGAATAGCACACCCAATCTCATGAGTAGCTGCTACAATTTTCAAAAGACTGCATGAGCATTTAATACTAATGAAGGCAAGTTTTCAGGCAATTCTTTACAAATGTTGACTAACTTTGTCCCATTCACTTGAATCTAAGGAGGGATGTTGGGTCTCAAGGAAGACTGGATGACTAAAGTGTTGGCAATAAGCATAAAAATTCATCACCCCCTGAATAACACTCAAATTTGTATGACCTAAGTATAGGGAGTATGGTCTGGGTGCCCTCAGGCAACAGTAACAACAACAACAAAAATCGGACTCAAACAAGTTTAAACAAGAAGATAATCTATTTTCCATTCTATATGAGACCCAGAGGTAGTTCAGGTTCTAGGGGAGGTAACATAGTGGCTCAAAGATATAATCAAGGACTGCAGTTCTTTTCTTTTTCCTTGGTATCTTCAAAGTCCCCTTCATCCTTAAGTTAGTTTCTGTCATGATCATAAGATAGTGGCAGCAGATTCAGATTAACAATGCCCAGAGGAAGAGAGAATCCTTCTTATATCATTTTTTTTAAGGTGAAGGAAGCTTTCTCAGCAGCCCTTCATGAGACTTCTGTTGCCTTGGTAAAGACTGGACCACATGCTTACCCTTAAATTAATCATGGCAATGGGGAGTTATAACAATGGGCTTAGACCAGGGATTTTCAACCTTGGATGCATTTTGAAAGTTGAGAAAAAACTGATACCTGGGTCTTACCTCTAGAGATCCTGGGATGCAGCCGGGGGCACTGAGAGTTCTAAAAACTTCCAGGTGACTCTAATGTGCAGCAAAGCATTTGAGAACCATAAATTTAGACCAAATGTCTGGGGAGTGGAGACAGAGTAGGGGTAGGAATGGATAGTGGATTATAAATTACTATAGCCACTACATATTGTTGTATTTTTAATGTAAATTTTGCACACATGGGATTGGAGACAGGTTTGGAGGAATCCATGTTTATAGGGAGACCAAATGAATGTGGTCTATATTAGAAGGGCAAATTTGGATGCATCCAAAGCCAATCAAAACCACTTCTGAGCATGGTTTTGATAATGCACTTAAAGAGTGATTTTTGACTTCTGTAAAGTATAGTAAACTAAGAAGTGATGACAGTAAATGATATGAATCTTTCAAGAAAAAAAGTATGAGAATACTCTTAAATTCTGGTCACCCACTTAAAAAAATGTCCATTACCAAATAGTTCTAGAAACTTCAGTATTTTTCACATTCCCTCTTTGAAAGCCAAATATTTCTTAAGAATTTTTGAATGCATGATACTAAAATTCTTTTATTTTTTGAGAGAGAGCACATAAGTGGGAGAGAGGCAGAAAGAGAGGGAGACAGAGGATCTGAAGTGGGCTCTGTGCTAACAGCAGAGATGTGAGGCTTGAACTCACAAGCAGTGAGATCATAATCTGAGCTGAAGTCAGATGCTCAACCAGCTGAGCCACCCAGGTGCCCCCTAAATTTTTTTTTTTTAAGTTTCACTACAATATGGAGGGATCTAGAGGGTATAATGCAAGGTGAAATAACAGAGAAAGACAAATATATAATTTCACTCATATGTGGAATTTAAGAAGCAAAACAAATGAACAAAGAAAAAAAGAGACAAGCCCCAGACTTTTAAATACAGGGAACAAACTGGTGGTTGCCCGAAGAAGGGAGGGTGGACGATGGGTAGGACAGGTGGTGGGGATTAAGAGTACACCTATCATGGTGAGCACTGAGTAAAGAATTGTTGAATCACTATACTGTACACCTGAAACTAATATAACACTGTACATTACTTATATAGGGATTAAAAAAAATAAAACTAAAAAAGTTTTCATTGGTTTAAAAGCTGCATGCAAATAAACCAGAATATCCCAGACTGAATGCCTTAAAAAAATTCAGATGCTCTTTTTCCAGTTATCCACTTTATATAATCTCTTTAGGTTGCATATCCAGATCATTTTATTCTCATACAGACTGTACCCCACTCCCCCCACCCCCATATGTCCAGCATGTGGCATCCACGTGGTCACTGTTATGTTTGTACATGTGGAACAGTGGTCCTCCACCTTGGCTACATATTAGAATCATATGGGAAGACTTTTAAAAAACTGACCCCTCCCTTCCATTCCCATCCCCATAAGTTGAAACCAAACCTTTAGGGGTTAGAGGGCCTAGGCATCTCTATTTTTGAAAAGTTTACCAGCTAATTCTGATACGGAGTGAGGACTAAGAGGTATTAGTGTAAAGGGGAAAAGGAGGTAGATAACAGTTCTCTTGTTCTTAGCTTGCTTTTAATTTTTCCTCCCCCAAAACTAAGCTAACCTGAGTAAGCAATCTTGTGGGAGAGTGTAAGCCTTTAAGGTCTTGGCTCAAATGGATTTTGCAAGTAAAGGTAAAGCTTTATGGAGCCTCAAAAGTCTCTGGTAACACTCTGTAAATACCTGTGGAAGCAGCTGGCCCTTTACTGTGATTTCTGAATAAGTACCTCATACGTAGCCCTTTGCACTTGAGGTGCAGGGAAGCCTTCTGACAGCTGTTTTTACTGTGGTTGGTGGCTAGAGACCATAATGGAGAGAAGAAAATCACTACCTTGGAGAAGGATCATAAAAAGTGACTTTTTAAAGAGCTGATGAAACAACAGGTGGGTCAATAATATTTGTGCCCAACCCAGATTGTACCACAGCTAGATTGTACCACAGCTAAATCTGTGCCTGCTGCAAACAATATGTGGTGCCCACCCATGTCCCCTGTGGCACACATTTGGAAACCATAATTTAGGCTGACGCTGGAATGTGCTGAGAGTTCTTTGGGAAAAGCTTATTCTACCACCCATTAAATAATCAGCAACATAAGTAATGAAAGTCATAGCTCTGGAAAAAGAAATGCTTTGCATTGATAGTGTCAGAATAATTTGGAAAATAAACCCTAAGAGGTGGAATGTGGTAAAGTAGAAAGAGCACTGGAATTGAGCCAGTAGCTGTGGATTTGGATCCTGGTTTTCCACTATTTGGCTGTGACCTTGGGCAAGACCTATTATGGTCTGCGAGCCCTGGGCTCATTGTTGCGGATGCATTCCAAATTTTTATCATAATACCCAATTTGTAATTTAAAAAATCTATTAAGTCATATCTACAATATCATAGAAGAGTCCATTTATGATTTTCCATTTTATATTTCACATGATTATTTCTAGAATAATTTTACAATTTTGCCAATCATCTCATTATAAATCTTACATTGTCAGAAAAATAGTTCTCCTTAGTTTCTGAAAAGGGTTAGTAACTACTTTCAGTGTCTTCGTCAGATTATGGATAGCTCACTTTTGTTTTCCGGCAGGTTGTCAAAACAGTTTAAATGTAATGAATAAGTACAAAAACACAAGGCCAGGAAACAAAAATGCTGTATTAAATGTAGAAAAAGCTTTGCCTTTCTAATAAACACACAAAGAAAGGCACTCCTTAACATATGTGGGCATGTGGTTTTAGCTTATTATAGAATCTTTTTTGGAGAAGTGTTTGTTATTGATTTAATTCCTGAAGCTTTCTTTTGCTTTACAGTGTTAGGGTGTGATAATCTCTTGCTATAAGTATAGTATTTCCTGACTTAAAGATGAACTAAACATCTTATCTTCCTCAGAGTATATATTCTCCTTTCCATATATGAAGTGCATAAACCCTAGGACATGGCTTTGTCAAATTGGGAGTAACTAAGACCAAGAGGTTGAGTCTTCACAGAATAATAGCCTCTGACCTTATGCAGCACAGACAGAAACACCAACCAGCCAATAATTTCCTGGTGAGTCTTGACAATCTCTTCAAGAGTCTGTGGACACTTTGTGGACATACATTTTACAGCAGTTGCCACGAGTGCTGGGAAAACTTTTAGTGATGTGTCTTTTATCTTAAGCATTTGCCTCTTGCACTAAAATAACTGGAAACATAATAGCAATAAATGTTTTTTCATGCACCTTATTAAGGTCCTGTTTGAACAGTACAATTTTAGTCATTTGTTATTTTGAACTGAGGGATCCAGTCATTGGCAATGATGTGTTTAATTTCACAAATGTGCAAATTCACTTTTAACAAGGACTTGGATTCAGTTTATATGTCCACCCAATGATATTTACAATCAAGTTATTGGCAGGTCCTATTTAAACTAATAAATGCATATCTTTCATTCTAGAAATGTATACAGAACTCTATTTTCTAAAAGTTTTTCCCTATGAAGGCAATTCCTTTTCTAATATATACACATTAGGAAGTTGTAGACAGGATTTCAATATGTGATAGGTCAATCTTGGCCAATATCCAAGGGAGCTGATTTTATTAAATAACCAAAAGAACCTCAATTTCTTTTGGATTCAAGTGTAAAGCAATCACCTTGTAAAGACTCATACCCTCCCCTCCCCCTTGCAAGGAGAATATTAAAACAAGACCACACTATGCCTATGACCAATTAATTACCTTCTGGCTAATGCCTGGCTCTGTTTTTCAATATAAAATGAGTATGGCTACAGAAAAGTAAGTTTCCTTTAGAGTTAAGAATCTATTTAATTCCCAATTGTCACAGAACATTTTTTAGAAAATACTGCACTCTTTAAAATTTCTGTCACTGTGTTTCTATTGCTGTCAAAGAGAAAAAGGTAACGATTACTGCAAGTGTACAAATAAAGCTCATTGCGTTCTGCAAATTATACAGATCCAGTGTTTTTGGTGAGTCCTCTTAAAATTTTCTCTGGCTTTATCAATTTGAGAGTCACTCTTTATAGATAAGTGTTGTCTCAGTTTGCAAAAAGGCGTGGTTATGGTTTCCAAAGTCACTTGGATAATCACAGTGCTACCTACCTGACACTTAGTGCTAAAGGTTGGTAGATCTGCTTGTGGCTTCAGCTGCCAGCTATCAGAGAAGTGTTCCTGTAATTGACAAAAGGGAGAAAATAAAAGATAAAATAGGGAAAGAAAAGGAGGGCAGGAAGGTAGATAGATTTTTCATTTCTTATCTTGTGATACATTCTGTGGCAGTAAACACAACTATCTCTTAAATAGACCTTTTGAAGGCAGAACAAGAAAATACTCCAAGAGAAAGGATTAAAAACTGGAGGTTGTCTTCCTTTTCATTGTGGCTTTGTCCTTTTGGAAAGTCTGCATGACCTCTCCTCCTAGTATTAAATAAAACACGGGTGTGAGGACTGATGATTCAATTTGGTGAGTTAGTTACAGAAGTAGCTCTGGCATCTGTTACTTCCACTCTGTTATCCATTACTTCTGTTTTCTTAATGGCAGCAGACATTTGATTAACTACTGAGATTTGGACACGAAGGGGATCCAAGGTGGGTTGTGAAGTAAGTCACATAGCTGCATCTCTGTTTCCTCTTTACCTCACCTGGTCCTCTGGCTCCAGAGTTCTGGCAGACTGGCAGCTGGAGGCATTCACCTCGGGCTGGAGAAGCTCTAATTATTTCAAGAATAATTGATGGGGCGCCTGGGTGGCGCAGTCGGTTAAGCGTCCGACTTCAGCCAGGTCACGATCTCACGGTCCGTGAGTTCGAGCCCCACGTTGGGCTCTGGGCTGATGGCTCGGAGCCTGGAGCCTGTTTCCGATTCTGTGTCTCCCTCTCTCTCTGCCCCTCCCCCGTTCATGCTCTGTCTCTGTCTGTCCCATAAATAAATCAAAACGTTGAAAAAAAATTAAAAAAAAAAAGAATAATTGATTAAAAAATACATAATAGCCTGATAATAAAACTCCTGGAATACGTATCATTTATACATCATTTTTGGTATAGTGGTTTTGGGAAGAATGAAAAGCAAATCTCCCCTTTCCTGCCAAATATATAAATTAGTGGGTAAAACTAAAAGGGTAGGGAATTAAGTAATGCCTAAATATTTACAAAATTCTTAATTTATGCACAACCATAGCAGAGAACAAGGACTGCCTTTTATACATTCATAGTTAAGCGTTATAAGAAACAGCTCCAAGTAGAAAAAAGGCAAAAATCCAAATTTCTTAGCAGTAATCAATATTTTATAGCATCCAACAAAAAGCAACAATAAACATTTACCTTATGGATTAAAATTACTGTAAGCCAAAATACCAGAAAACATTCCCTTAAAATAAGTATTTTTTTTCCCAACTCACTTAAGTATCTATAGCAGTCAACTTTCTTCTGTATGGCTGTACAGAATCAGATGTTACACCCAGAAGTAATTGTGAAAAAGCATCTAGTAGTTCAAATGATTGTGGGGCCTCAAGGGGTAAATGAATTTCTGAAGGTAAAACTTGACTGTGGAAAGTCTGGAACTCATACCTTAGTCTTTTCATTGTCAGTTCACTGCTTACTTTTTCCTATGCTGAACACATTAGAAAGATTTACATTTGATTATTTGTCACTATTCACAAGGAGGCACAATCAGTCCTGGAAAATAAATAATAGAAAGCAAGGGGAAATAGTGTATAAAATTTAAGACCAACCAATCAACCAAATTATGGAAGAAAATTTAAGCCACAGACCAAACCTTGTAACCTGAAAAGAACCAAGAAAATAATTCTCACCCATTTAGTACCTGTTCTTTTACAAGACCTTAGGCCAAGATCCAATTTGACTCTGTTGAGACCCAGAGGTTATAGGACTAAAAAAATGGAGTGGAAGTATACAGTTAAGGTCAGATTTGGTTTTATTGGATAGCACAATCTATCCTGGGATGGCACAATGGACCTGTCTTTATTTGCTGATTGAAAAAGTCCAGCCATGGCCTAGCAATCATTTATATAGCAGTCACCAGAGGAAAGCAAACATACCCACTCTAACAATTCATTGGCTCTTGCCACCTTTTCTACAGCCTAAAATTATGATATAAACTGCTATTGAGGGTTACTTGCTTATACAAAGATGTTACTCTAGCAATTGTTGCTTGAGGGCAAACCTGGTGACTACTGGCAGAGGGAATACAAAAGTGAGCTAGCTTATACATGGGCTCCATACTTTTCTTAATTAACTGGAAAAGTCCCTCCAGCAGAATATTTGTTATTATAATTTTAAGTGTTCAAGGCTCAGTGTGTAACATGTGAAGATGCCAAAGATAAATACTGATAAACTGGAAACCAAATCTAAATAAAGGCCATTTTTTGATAAAAGACATTATCAGACATCACTATATATTCCACCCAATAATCTCATATATCAAAGCTTTTAGCTGTCTGGATTCATATGTGACTGTATTCTTTCCAGTATGCATTCTTTCTTCTTCCAGAGGTTGTTCAATAATGGCAGGTATGTTCCTGCCATAAAGTTCACATTGTTCTAGAAACTGGACACATTCTTGAATAACACTGTCACGAAGCACGATCATGTGTTTCGACATGTTTTCTAATAAGGACAGGAAGCATCTTTTGGCATAATACCAGGTATCAGTTCCCAGTTTCTTATGATAAGGCTCCAGGCTTTTGATCACCCGAGAAATACCAAAGTCATAATTTCCTTTGGCACAATAAAGTGTGCCTATCACCAAATTCACAATGCAGAGGTGGTAGATTTTCTTATCGGGGTCATCATAGGACAGCTGCTCTTCCTCCTTTTCAATCTTCCTCATCAACTCCTCAGCTTCTTCATTCTGACTGGTCATAATATATGAAACACACAGGTTAGCCAGCACAACAGCACTGACATTCAGGATGTGGTCATAATGCTTCTTGACTATGGGTTCATAGAAACCTATAGCTTCTTTGTATTTGTCTTCCTGCATGAACAGGACATGAGCCACGTTCAACTTCCACACATCATGGTCATTACAGAATTCCACAGATTTGCGGAAGATCTTTTCCACCATTGGATAATTCTCAAGGTTCCAGTAGATTTTGGCCTGGGCCATCAACACAGGAATGTACTTCTCCAGAGTGTCATCATATTCATTCACTGCCTTTTTGACAGCTTCGTCGTCTCTATGGTGTCTTGCTTCCTGTACTTGTTTGGTGAGTCTCCGGAGCTGTTCAGTCAGCATCCCTGCTAGCCCATCAAGCTTAATGAAAGCCTCTTCAGGGGCTGTCTGGCAGGTGATCAAGGCATCCAAGAAGTCATAGAGATAGGGTGTGAGGAACTTGTAAGTCAAGTGGGCATTCTCGGCCAGGACATCTGCTGCCAGGTCGAAATACTCATACTTACAGTAGAGCAGCAGCAGGTTGCCAAAGGTCTCCGGGGGAAAGGGGTTCTGTTGGAGCAAAAACTGTAGCTTTTCAAACCCTTCTGTAGGCCTGGCATCCATGTTCATTAGCGCCTGGTTGTGCAGGGTCACGGGGTCTAACTCTTCTTCTGCCCTAGGTGGCATGTCAGTGAGGGTTTCCTGGGCCACTTCATAGTTTCTCAGTTGGTATTCTATGGCTGCTTTGAGGTTGAAGGCTTCCACCAGGGCAGTCTGGTGAAGGACTAAGGTGTTGCCAACACTTCGAACATCGATGCCCTCAGTGGTCATGCCCACACCTAGCTCCGGGTGCTGGCGGATGCCACGCTCAATAATGTCGGCGATATGCTTTAGAGCCGAGGCATAGTGCCGGCTACTGTAATAGGCCAAAGCCAGGTTGTAGGAAAGGTCAGGCCGGTAGCCCGAAGCCTGGAGGGCCGCAAAGAACTTGGAACACGCGGCCTCATACTGTCCCTCCTTGTAGAGCAAACACCCCAGGTTAACCTGACCATCGGGCTCGTTCTCGCCCCCACTGTCCTCTCCCCCTTCCCCGCCCAGTAGCTGCTCCACCAGGCTCTTGGCCCCGGGCAGGTCGCCCTCGCTGTACTTGATCGCGGCTTGCAGGCGGAGGACGCGGTTGTGGTAGGCGGGGTTGTCCAGGAGGAGGAAGGCGACCCGGGTGGCCTCTGGATAAAGGCAGGCCTTGTACAGGGCCTGGGCCTGGTATAGACGGTACTGCTCCAGTTCCGGGTGCAGCTGGCCCAGCTGCTCATAGCACTCGGCCGCCAGCGCGAACTCCTGCAGGCGGTAGTAGCAGTAGCCCAGCAGCGACAGGCCGGCGCGGCTCCTCGGGCTCCGCTGGAGCTCGCCGCCCAGCAGCTGCACGGCCTCGGCGTAGCGCGAATCCCGGATGAGCCGGTACACGACGGCAGTGAACTCCCCATCGGGGATCTGCGCGCCGCTCAGCCCGGCCATAACCGCCAAGCTGGTGGTGCGTGCTGGTTACCACGGCAACAAGCCCACCGGAAACGGAAAGCTGCTCGTTCTGGGATTACTTTGTAATGGAATAAGCTCAATGGGAATAAAAAGTCATCACTGAAATTCCCGTTACTAATTTCGTTCTTGAAGACTTTAGGCTTCTAAGACCGGGAGTCCTGCAAGACCAAACAAACGCTTCGATGCAGTTGAGATACGAAAACTCCACTTCCCGGCATGCACCACTGCAGTCGCGCCGCAGTCGGGAACGCGCCCGCTCTGCCTGCTGGGAGTTTAGTCTCGCGAGACCGATTCACAAACATTGGGAGAGGGGGTTTCACAGCCCTGTTGTTTGTATGTTAGTGGGGTTTGCTTGGTGTCGTTTGCATCGTTTCGGTGTCTGACTCGGGAGAGGAAAGTTTATCGTCTGAAATCCCATGCTTGTCTTAGCTGTTTACGGTGCAGTATATACAAACGGTGTCGGTTCCTGTTTTGTGCTTGTAAATTAGTAGGAAGGAAAAGGTGGACTGAATCCTTGGTAGTGCCCTGAAATTAGAGTAGGTTCTTTTTTGAAGCCGCCCTGAGGGCATATTTCTAGGAAGTAATATGAAGAAACCAAAAGTCTATTTTTGTCGTTTCCACAGGTGGTGTAGCATAGGTTTTGTGAATCATAAATGGTACTGTGAGATCCTCAATTTTATTTTTGTTTATTTATTTTTCATTTGCTAGATTTAATTTAATTTTTTTTTGAGATCCTCAGTTTTAGATCCAAGGGTCTCCAATCCTCTCTTTTCATGAACAATTATTACTGAATAGATGGTGGCATTTAAACTGGGACTCCTGCCCTGGTCCTCTAACTTTCAGTACAAAGAAAAGACCATTCTTTCTTGATCTGCCTAGATCTCCATTGGTCTTCTTTTTTTAATGTTTATGTATTTTTTTTTAGAGCGAGAGAGCATGAGTGGGGGAGGAGCAGATAGAGAGGGAGACACAGAATCCGAAGTAGCCTCCAGGCTCTGAGATGTCAGCACAGAGCAGATGTGGGGCTCAAACACACCCTGAGCTCAAGTCGGACACTTAACTGACTCAGCCACTCAGACGCCCTTCCACTCCTCTTCTACCATTTGCATTGGCCTACCTAGTCCTTAAGATAAAGTGTCAAAAGCATATCTTTGCTATATACTTAAAGACTTCCATGCAAGTCCTTTATCACCCTCCTTTATACTTTTGCTGGCCATGCATCTTTTCTATATATAAATTTTAGACCCAACACCAGCGATATTTTATGCCATATTAGACCATTTATGCACATTTTTTCTAATCTTAATAACCACCCCTATATTCTACGTATTACATGTAAGGTAAGTTTTGCGTACTGGAAAGTTTTATGTTATTTGCCTAAGACCACAGAGCTAGGTAGTTAGCAGCTGTGCCAGGATATCCAACATCTATTTTCAGTAGGAAATAGCGACTGATAACTCATTCCATATATCCCTTATAGATGAGTTTCTAAGAGCCTAGTGTTTGGGGCCAAGTTGTATAATGGAAGATTAGTTTCCTTTCTCCATTCAACCAACCAACCAACCAACTTGGTGTGGTCAGTAGAAATTTGAGCTTCCAGATCTGAATTGCAGCTGTGAGCAGATGTTAGGAAGTAATTAGTGGGGGTGGTATAGCATCTAGTCGTCTGATAGATCTAGGCGGAGACTTCTGTAGGTGTGTGATTGTTCATAGCAGAAAACAACTGACTTTATGTACTCATTCAGTCTTCTCTCTTGCTGAAAAATTGGCAGCGCTGTGAACTTCCGAGTGGGACCAGAAGAGGAACTTGCCACTACATGAATACCAAGAAAGGAACAAACTGCGCACGTTTCAGAGTGTTGAGTGGGCCTCTGGTCCACCTAAGATACCCTGAGAACATAGCCAATGAGGATCACTCTAATTCTCCTCTAACACTTCTTCAACCCAATGTCTTGGTGCACCCTTTTAGGGCCTTCAACTCAGCAGGTATGTGGGTTGACAGAGGTTGGTTAGTGCTGCTCAGTAATTGAGGGTTGGGTGTGGGAGGATTTTCACCCTTATGGCTGCCTGACTACATTTGTCCCTTGGAAACTCAGGCTCAGTATTTAAAGATCCTTATGTATGAACCGTTACTTTGGGTAAGTTACTGTTAAATCAAGATAAGACAACAGAACTTAGAAATGGGAAGTTACCTTTTTATCTTTCGTCTGTCAGTCTTTCTTTCAGAGTTATATTTGTATCATGAAAGCGTTCACCTGCAAATGGTTTCTTGAAAAAATGTATGAAAAATAGAAGGACTATCTGCTCTCCTCCAAATTTCTTGGATCCCTTCAGGCATCAGTTGGGGTCCCCTGTTTGTGTTAGTACCTGTCTGTGAGTGTGGCAGCTGACGAGGGCAGGAGGGAGGCCGCTCTGTGTCTTCCCCCTTATTTCATGTGCTGCTGTTCCTGAGGCCTGGCTTGAAAAAAGGAGGACATTCGGCTTAGACAGATGGAGGGCAGGGTCATTTTCAAAATGTAATGAGTGCACAAATCACACTGTGAAATTGGCATGACCATCACTGCTGCTGTGATAGACTGACTTTTATTTAGTTATGATGGGCAGTTGGGGAATAGATTAGGTTTTTGGAGGGGGGAGGGGCCGCAGTGAAAGAAGGCCCTTTAATTAATGAGAGAAATTCTGGAAAGCAATAAATGGGGTGGAATATTATAAAATGTCATAAAAGACCATTTTGTTTCCAACAGAATCTTGAAAACTGGAGCATGTATCAAAAAGTAAATGTATCGTACCATTGCTAGCAATAAGAAAGCATTTGGTGGTTGCAATAAAATGATTTAGTGCCTTATTGAAAGAAACTAGGCTTTGAGAAAATGGAGTTGGACTCGGTGGATTTTGCTGCAAAGAGGAAGGCATGTTCACCATGTAGAAGAATTCCATTCAGGCAAAATGTGTAGGAGCTAAAAGCATGATGTTTGGTTCTTCATATGCTTATGTTTCTGCCTGCCAAAGCATGAGATGATCAAATCCTATTCTATTTGTACATATAATCTGTCTGGCATTCTCTTGTAAAACAGTTGGAAGGTATGATTTCTTATTTATCCTTTACGTGTGATCATGTCCTGTTGGTAAACCGGTCATTTCTGAACATCCCAACTACCACAGCTGTGGTCAGACATCTTTCTTGATAAAGGAAGACCTTCTGAAAAAACCACTTTTCAGTTGTTATTTTTTTTCCCTTCTCATTTCAGGCTATTTTCTTCAGGATGGCCAGTTTCAGGGGCTCAGTTACCTTGCTTCCTCTCAACAGTAAACAGGGAAAAATAATAAATTAGTACCAAATTGGTAATGTAATTGACTTTTAGAAGCATCCCTTCCATCTTTTAATACTTTTGGAAAGGTTGTATACCAAATCAATACTTGGGGAATGTATGCTCAGACATTTAACCTCATTATGAACTCTCTTTTTGCTGGTGGTTTCAGCTCTATTATTTTCATTAGATTTCTTTCTTGGATATACCTTATTTTTTTTATCAAGTAGCTTATATTTAGGTGCTTACAGTGTTAGCACTGTTACCTAAACTTGTCAGGGAGAACACAATAGCATTATAGTTTATAAATGGAGTTAGTAGGGAAGGCACAACTGTGGATACTGGTATTTGAAGAAAGCGATCCGCCATCCAAACAAAGAGCTACTCTAAGCCTTGTGTTTATACAGTACTTTCTGTACCAGGACCAGGTCCTGCTTTGCCTAACTTCCCTCATTAATCCTCACAGCCCTTCTGTGAATTAGGTTACTCTTATTTTTGGCCCCACTGGAAAACCACGGACTGCAAAGCACAAAAGGAAGCCTGTGGTTGCAGCAGCCCGCCCGCGGGGGCTGGCGATTGCTTAAGCTGGCCAGTAGGGGCCACACTGCACCTCTTCCCTCTCTCCCCCTGGGTACCTCCTCTCCAGTCCTTTGAATTGGCTTTGGATCATTTGCTGCAGTTTGTTCTAACAGAACAGGCACAATGGTGTAAGAATTTTAAAGTTTAAGCACCGAAGCCGTTGTGTAATTGTATGGCGTCAGTGTGGCCGGCAGCCCTGCATTGATGCGATCCCCCTGTGTAATTGCCCATGCAAATTCGAGCGGTCTGTAAGGGACGCAGAAACCCGCGTTTGGCTACAGATTCTTCTCCCCCAGAAAATCTAATAACTCGAAGAACCTTTTGTCATCTTTAAAATGCATCATGGACAGGGATGTCTCAGTATCCCTCTCATAGGGGCAGACATCACAGATCAAGGTTAATGGGCTAAATTCACAGCCAAAATTTAAATTGTAGGTAATCAGATGCATGCTTTCCTCTTTCAGACTTTAAATCACCCTTCACAAGAGAAATAAAGATTATTCCAGAGGTTTAGTAAAACTTTAAGCATTTTATTAAAAACCAAGATAGTTAGGTCTCTTAAAGCAGACTGTTTCAAACTCATGAATTAGTTGCCTGTGAAATTGCTTGCAATCCGTAATGTAGTATTACAATGAAACATCAGCCTGACAAATCTGTACAAAGCCAGTGACTTCAAACAATTCAGCTGAAGACATATTTCCCTCCTTTTGTGTAAAACAATAGTAATTAGGAAGCACATCCGGAGGGGATCCTTTTTAGATTATTGTATATCAAAATAAAATGGCAAAAGCAATTTTCTCTCATGGGAATGAGACTTAACAAAACCTCATCTCTTATTTCCGTACTATGCCCTTCCTTCCTCGTTCCCTCCCTTCTTTCCTCTCTCCTTTTTTTCCTTCCTCCCTTCCTCCCTCCCTTCCTTCCTTCCTTCCTTCAATTCATGTAAACATGATTTAATATAAATCTAAAGAAAACAAATTGAGGTTCTAATACACACATATATACATATAGAAAGTGAACACAAAGATAAATCATGGCCTCAAATAGCACATTTTTATCACAGAAAATACTTCATTTACCTAATAAACATATTTCTGTACCAGTGTATACATTGAACAACATTGGCATAGATACGCTGCACAGAAACAATTAATCTTTAGCCCTGTTGAGAGATGTGCCAAATATGCAAGAACATTCATAATTAAATTAGGGAAGATGTAACCCAAAATTGATAGCTGAGGAAAAGGTAGTAACGCAAACAATGTAAGCAGGACACCGGGCATTGCTGAACCTGTGCTCTTCGTGACATTCCCTGGACACGCTTCATCTTGTTTCTGTCCTCCCTGTGTTTTAATCTATTACTGCTCACTTATGAAACTTATGAAATTCTGGCTTTCTTGTAGCCAGACCCAACTTTTAAATTTCCTGCTACATTTGAGTTTTGGGAGTTCTTTACAGCAAGTGGCAGAACAGCTGTTTCAGAGACTGTTATTCTGAAGCAGACAGTGAGACTTCACAGCACTGGCATTGCCGGAGTTTTTAGGGTCCTAAATTAGGTTTTGTTCTGTTGTTTAATGAATTCTCTTGGAGTTTTTATTTTTTCTCGGCCAGACATTTTTCTTTAGATTTAAATCTTCCCTAACATGTTTAGATTTCTGTCTTGCTTGAAGGGAGTTTTTCCCACTATTACTGGGGGTGAGATGTATTTTACCTTTCTGTAATTCATTAAGAGTCAGCAGGAGAAATGGATTTTAAAATAATTGTACTGCAAAGTAAATTGAGCAGACTCTGTTTAATGACCTAAGGTAAGTGGATAAAGTATGATAAATTTTGATACATGAAAAAAGCAACTGAATTCTGTAGCATTAATATTAGATGATATGCTATTGCCCTAACAAAAATTTAAAGATTATTTCTAACCCAACCCAACGTGTATGCAAATATAAAATACCTGGAAATGTATAGACATCTCAGATTTTAGAAATAAAAAACACATGCAATTTTAATTTCACTTGATTCACTTTATAAATTGACTTCTAAATTAAACCAAGTGCCATTTATGGGATATCTAGCTATGAGATAATCTAAAGTTGTCCCTTATGAAGTAAAAGGTACATTTTTAAAAAGCTGTACTGACAACCATATCTTTCATGATCACTAGAGGCAGGCTCAGACATATATGTGGTAGGGGTGTTTTATATCTACCTCATATATGTAACTTTTTATTTTGTCTTTGGAGAGAAGATGACCTCTTTAGGTTTGTTCCTATTGTGTTTGAGAAGAGTAAGTAAGACAATTATGTGGAAAATATTTTAAAAATTAAATACAGGTTGGTCCTCTGTTGTAGAAGTGAACCGAATAAAGCCAGTGCTTTTATTTTACAGGTGCAAAACCCAAGACCTGGAGGGTCCCAAGAGAACAGGTCAAACTGGTGGCCAAGTTGGGGGCCAGGGCCCGTCTACTGTGCATCCTGTGGTGACCTTTGTAGTTTGCACGTGTTCTCTCCTGGCCAGTATCATAAGCTACATTGTGGGTTGTGCATGTGTTGTCTACATATCGACTACTAAGAAAATAAATAACATGTCTGAAAAAACATATCATGTGGAGAAGGTAGGATGAAGTCCTTTCAGCCATTAATGCCAGGAGCCCCAAGGAAGCAAACATAGTCTGGTCAGCTGAAGGTTTTATAAGAAGGCTCACATTTCAAATGCCTTCCTCCAGTAGGAAACAACCATTAATGATAAAGACTGAGAAAATGTCTCTTTATTGTAGGAAAGCAAAATATATAGATAATCACACATACCTCTCAGTCTTGGAAAATCATGCCTTATTTAGAAAAGGACTTGAAAATATCCCAAACACCCAAGTGTTCAGCCTCTCACCCCTGGGGTTGCACAGGGAGGGCGCTGCTGTCCTTTTCCACTGCTTCATGGTCTCCGAGGAATGGACCCATGGCATTAGTCAGCAGTTTCTGAATTTTGACCCACAATAGGAAAGATACCTTAAGACAGGAAAAATAGATGGAGGCAATTACAAACAGCTACTTGATTGATGGTTGACATTGTCAGGGCTCCAGTGTATGGCAGATTGCAATGGTGTTGAACTCCCCTTGCTACCAGTGGATGTTGCTATTGGCAACCGTGCAGTGAAGCCAATAAAAAGGCAAGAGAATGAGACGAAAGCTCAACCTTAGTGGAAGCCGTAGGGTTTGTGCTATAAATTATGTTCCCCTTAGCAATGTGTAGCATCAACGTTCAGGGCGGCTCGGGTGCTCATAGCTGCCTGCAGTCTCCATCGGACCCTGGGTCTAGTTTTATCATAAAGCACATGCTTTAAAATTTTGCTCTAGATAGACTGGCATCCGTCTGTCTGGGCTATTTATTTATTTACTTATTGTTGGGGAGGATAACAGATGTGGGTTCATCTCTGCCTCACATGGGCTGATTTTCAATTCCCGTTTGTGATATAAACATGGTGTGCCATAATAGCTGGAAACACCTGCAGTGCTTCTGAGCTGCAGACACATGACCCAGGTCTGTCCCCAACTCCACCCCCTCTTTGTTCCTCACCTGAAGGAGGGGAGACAGCCGGGCAGAAGCTATTTTCCTTTAGAGCAGAGCGATTCAGAAAACTGGCTTAATAAAATCCATAAATCTGATCAGCCTCCTCTTACCTGCTCTGTGAAGGCACTTTTTCCTACACTCGTTTTTTTCCTCTAGATTCTCCAGTCTTTGCTGCAGAGACAGCTGTAAATGGTGGCCAGGAACATGAATTTTTAGGTTCCCACTCCCTCCTCTCTTTTGTCAAACCCCTCCCTGCTCAAATAACTCTCTTTTCTAAGCAATTGATGACAGGATTCTGTATCCTTTTTGGGGTTAGAAGCACCATTTTTCTTTGTTTGGATTGATGTTTACCTGGCCTTTGGCAGTTCTCTTACCATCTGCCTCAGTCTCTGTCTTTTCTTTTTTGGGTGTCTTTTGCTTCTCATCCTCATCTTCCTCTTTTTCCCCCACTCTTTGCCTGGTTTATAATTTTCTTTGACTTTGTTTCTTGCCGCATGAAATCTTATGTCTTCCCTACAGATAGATACCTGTTCTTCCCTCTCTTTGGTTTTGGAACCTTCCTTTGCCCATTCTTTTTTTTTTTTTTTTAATTTTTTAAAAACCTTTATTCACTTTTGAGAGACAGAGAGGGGCACAGAGAGAGGGGAGACACAGAATCCGAAGCGGGCTCCAGGCTCTGAGCTGTCAGCACAGAGCCCAACGTGAGGCTCGAACCCACAAACCGTGAGATTGTGTCCTGAGCCGAAGTTGGATGCTCAACCGACTGAGCCACCCAGGCGCCCCTTTCATTTACCCATTCTTAAAACATTTTTGGAATGTCTACTATGTGCCAGGGAAACAATACTCCTTGTGTAACTTGGCCCCTATTTTCCTTAATATTTGAGTAGTCAAGTTAATAACTGATACTGACTAGTAACCATAAGAACAAAAATGATTTGTGAACTTTAGATTTTTCAGAGCTGGAATGGACTTCACCGTTCATCTAGTCCAGGGATGTCCAACTCCTTGGAGCTCCTTTACGGACCACCATGTCTGTAACCAAAGAGGAGAATTTGCAGGTTCTGGGTCTCCCAACCTGGCTTCAAACAGAGAATTTCAGCTCTTAGATGTTTTATATCTCGGAGATTCCTTGTAAGATTTTTTTGAACAAAGAGTTCTAAGGTTAAACATGTTTGCAAATCACTTCCTAATGTAATCTCATTCAGCAAATGAGGAAACAGGCTGGGACAAGTTAGGTGTTTTGTCCAAAGTCACCCAATGACTGGTGCCAAAGCCAGAGTCGTAGGTCTAGCTTCTAGTCCAGCATTCTTTGGACAAGTCAAACCATGTCCTCAATCTCTCAGGTCAAATGGGGAGCAAAGCAGTTTTCTAGTCATTGCATCGATTTAATATAGTTTATTATTATAAACCTAGCCTCTTAGAGCATATTTGTCCCCTGGCCAGACTGTCATTTCTTTCTTATACTTAAGGAAAAATAAAAAAATTGGCAACCACCACATTTGGCTTTAGGTTGGTATCAGTAGGAGCTTTCGATGGTGTATAAAAACCAATCCCTAAGAGAACTCAAGGTAGTCTGATTATTCTCCGCGGCTCTGCTGTGGCCTGTAAAATGTCTTCGCGGTTGGAAATAGTTCCTAAGTGTTCATGGGTCACTTGTGGTGAATCCAGCTGTGGACTTCCTTTCATCCCTCCTTTAAAGCCTATTAATCCATTCCTTCTGGGAGAAGACTTGGTCTACAACAAAGGGTGAATTTTTAAAAAGTGGAAAAGGGGGCCGCAATCCCAATGCAGTGTTATGAATCTTGTATAAATACCAGTCACACAAACAAACGCATTTGTTATCTTCCTACTATGGGCCTTTTTAGGGGAAAACTAGGACTGACCAGTATTGGTAAGGATGCTATGGTTTATTTTTTAGGTAGGCCATTCTAAAGGCTCTAATCCATCATTAAGAAGCTTTAGGATAAAAATAAAATACCTCTACAGGATACAAACTGGGCTTCTTGGAACAGTGTGGCACAAAAGGGCACTCAGGAGAGGATGCAAAGGCAGGCATTGCTTGGCTTGTAACAAATAGAAGAGCTGGATACAAAGTGAAGCAGCGCTAATGGCGCGTTCCCTGCTCTGGGCTCCGTCGGCCACTGGGCTCGGCATGAGCAGGGCCGGCTGTCCTCTGGTGTGGGGTCCTCTGCCCAGCACCTCTCCCACGTGTGCTCGTGTGCTTGTCAGGGGAAGCTGAGCGCCCCGGGCCGGGCTCCCTCCCCACCTCCTCTGTCCTTCCCGTCGCACTCTCCTCCGCGGACCACACTTAAAGGTGGAAGCCCAGGCCGTGCTTCCCGGTGCAAACCAAGAGACTCTGCCAGAGCTTAAAGGAACAAAAGGATGACGTGGGCTGGCCCGAAGCTGGCCCTTCAGGATGCAGTCATTTTGCAGCGGCAGCTAAGCTGGAGGGTTAGTTCCTGTCTTCCCCAGCGGCCACGAGGCTGGCAGACGAGGGTGAGGCGGCCGGCACCAGCAGCCTTTTCTGGTGCAGCTCTTCCCACTTACTTCTGTTCGCTGCCACCGAGTCCAGCATGGGCTTCAGTTTCACGTTGACCTTCACCAACGCCTGAAATAAAAAAAAAAAGGTGGAGGAGAGAGGAACCCGAGTCACTGACATGGTTTTCTAGCTTTCCCTTGTGAGGAGAACAGACACTGGCTGCAAGAAATGAAATGTGATGATTATTTTGGTAAACCCGAGCTATTGGCAAGAAGTAAACGCATGTAACACCATCGTGCTGCATTAATAGAGCCTGTGCAGAAAATGAAAAAAATAAGACAGGGTGGCTGTGTACTACTCCCAGGGTGCTAGCCCATTAGATTATGATCCTGTTCTAAGTCTATATCCAGACAAGACAGGACACAAAATACTCGGCTCACACATGCCTACTTATGTATATTGTTGCCTGCTCTGGACACTCCAGATCTCGACAGACCATGAACTTAAAGCTTTACTAAGCTACACCTACCATTGGCTCCACCACGGAGGAGGGGAGGGTTCTGGGTGGACTCATCTGAATAAGAAAGGCCAGATAACATCCCAAGAGAAGAGAAGGTGCTCATTTTTCAAGCTAAGGATCTGGGAGCTGTGCTAAATGAACAGACTGGCATGTGAACATGTATGAAGATGGACGCGAGACAAGAGAAAAAGGAGTGGGGAAGAGAGGGGTTGGGCTGCAGCGAGGGGATGGAGGGGGACACACAGGCAGAGGCCAGAGGCCAAGAATCCAGGGGCTTATTTGCAGGAGACTCTCCTAAATGTTTTCTTTTTTACTTAATTTTGTTGTCTTTGAAAAAGCGTCCCCTACTCCCTAATAGTATAATTTTCCAACCGCTGTCGTGGAACAGAGCAATGAATAAAGCAAGGGTCATGGAGTTGTGCCGGTATTAGCCCATGGAAAGGGAATGCTCCCACTTTGTGCCTTGGGTCTGTGTTCTGTGGCCACAGATCATATCCTTGGTCCTTGTAAACACTTTCAGGTGTGGCACATTCATCCCAAGGGGAACAAATCCACTGCAATGTCAGCACACCTCCTGAACAATCTTCTCCAAGCAGGGCCTGTGGTTAGGGGGTGGTTGATAGCAAAGCCGCCCAACAAAGAACAGCCCTTCATGTTGAGGGCGTCACTAGAGGTGACCAGGGACGCTACTGAGCTGTGAGCCCTCCAACCTGGCCGAAGTGGTGACCCTTCACACTGATGTCTCTTAGAGCATATTCCTCAAGAGTGACATTTATCTCACCAACCAACATTTAATTTCAAATCAGATGTATTAGTGAAATATGAAAATATTTCATATATGAAAATAAAATTCAGGTAGTGATCAAAATCCTCTTTATTGAGAAAAATGCAGGTGACTGTTTTCTATTCATTGCACAGTGTTTTTATTTGGATGATAGTGTAGGGTAGCAACGAATGCCATGGTTTTATTTAGTATAGTTTGGCACTGGCTCCTCGTCACTCTGATCGAGCCTTTTAATTAAACTGACTACTATAATTCCTATGGAAATTAGTGTTTATATTATTTTCCTGCTACAAAAGCTTTTCTCTAGAACTTATTTTTTTTTTAATCCCAGGAGCACAAATTGGAATTTTTTTCTGCCTGAAATGTAATTAAAAACTCATTTGATTACTATATTTCTGGCTCTGTTTTACTTATTAAATTCCTGTAATCAGTTTTCTTTTATGAAGCTGCTGGGAAATGATCTCAAAAGCAACACATTTTTCTCTTCCTTGGCAGGTTCCCGAGCATTTACTAAATTACATTCATAGCACCTGCCCATGATTCGAATTACTCCACCAATTTATTCCTTAAACCATTTAAGTTTATTTGGCTTAGCCCCAAACAGACATTTCTTTCCTTTATCTAGCTCTTTGTTCTCCCTCTTGCTTCCTTTGTGGTGAATAAAAACAAAACAAAACAAAACAAAACAAAAACTCCAAACTTTTGGGGAGGTACATATTTCTCAGAATTCTTCCTTCCCTTTATTTCATATTCTCTTTAATTAAACACAGAATTGCTATACTAGAATATCATTTTCCTCTGGCAGGTGCTGGGTCTAGGCAAAAGTAGCAAAAATCCCATCCTGTGCCATCAGTAAGATAATTGCTCCCACTATTTAGAAAGATACGGATATTCCTACAAACTTATCAGCAAGTGACACCTGATGAGTTCTGTGCAAATGCTAACATCTGTCTCGTTTGACTTCCTCATCACTTAGCAAAAGAGAAAGGGGACACTTATCACCTGTCTGCTCAGTCTCCATATACATGCAGAGCAACTAGAAAGGTTATGTACATTAGTTATGTAGATGTACATGGTGCCATCAGCCGCGGATGCTGAATCTCTCCTGTGGCATTCCTGCAGTGTGACCATTGCAGTGTTTAAACATGCCCACAGGCAGTGAACTAACTACCTCCCAGGTTGTTCTGATTTTGGAATGTTGTTCTTATATTGAAGTGAAATCTATATCCCTGTAACTTCTACCTAATGGTCCTTGAAGCCAGAATGTACTTGAGCAGGGTAGGACTGATGACTCATGTGCTGCTCCAAGTGTAGGTCAGCGTTGAGACTGACCTAAAAACCCAATTTGGGATGTGCTGCTTATTATCCTTGGGGCAACTATATGGCTATCACGGGGGCTCCCAAACTCACGTCCACTCTGCCTGGCCCACCACAGACACCTTGGGTACTTACTTGCCTGCTCTGGGACAGCCCTGGGCATCTAGTCACCTAAGTGACTGAGGGACCCCACTTTCTTCATGATTCCACTCACACTCATGTAGGGTGCCCAGCATGTAGGGTTTATTCCACATTTTATTTATGTTTTGAGTAAGTGATATGTTCACATAGTCCAATGGATACAAAGGGTACAAAAGGTACAGTGTAAAATATCCCTTCATCCCCTGCCCCCAGACATTTAGTTTCTTTCCCTAGAGACAACCAAACTTAGTGTATTCTTCAAGAACCATTTTATGTGGAAGCCATATATGAAAGGCCCACAGCTAGTATCATCCTCAATGGGGAAAAATGAAGAATTTTCCCCTAAGGTCAGGAACACGACAGGGATGTCCACTCTCACCACAATTGTCTACATAGTGTTGGAAGTCTTAGCCTCAGCAGACAAGCAAATGAAATGAAAGGCATCCAAATTGGCAAAGAAGTAGTCAAACTTTCACTCCTCGCAGATGACATGATACTCTACATGGAAAACCCAACAGACTCCACCAAAAAACCGCTCGAGCCGATAAACGAATTCAGCAAAGTCACAGGATATAAAATCAATATACAGGCATTGGGTGTATTTCTATACACTGATAATGAGTCAGCAGAAAAAGAAAGCAAGGGATCAATCCTATTTATAATTGCACCCAAACCCATAAAATACCTAGGAATAAACCTAACCAAAGACATAAAAGATCTGTATGCTGAAAACTATAGAGAGCTTATGAAAGAAATTGAAGAAGCCACAAAGAAATGGGAAAACATTCCATGCTCATGGATTGGAAGAACAAATATTGTCAAAATGTTGATAATACCCAAAGCAATCTACACATTCAATGCAAACACTATCAAAGTAACACCAGCATTCTTCTCAGAGCTAGAATAAACAATCCTAAAATTTGTATGAAACCACAAAAGCCCCTGGGTAACCAAAGTAATGTTGAAAAAGAAAACCAATGGGGCATCTGGGTAGCTCAGTTGGTTAAGCGTCCGACTTCAGCTTAGGTCATGATCTCACGCACTCCATGAGTTTGAGCCCCATGTTGGGTTCTGTGCTGACAGCTCAGAGCCTGGAGACTGCTTCAGATTCTGTGTCTCCCTCTCTCTCAGCTCCTCCCCCACTCATGCTCTGTCTCTCTCTCTCAAAAATAAACATTAAAAAAGAAAAAGAAAACCAAAGCTGGAGGCATCACAATCCCAGACTTTAGCCTGTACTACAAAGCTGTAATCATCAAGACAGTATGGTATTGGCACAAAAACAGGCACATAGATCAATGGAATAGAATAGAGAACCCAGAAATGGACCCATAAATATATGGCCGACTTATCTTCGACAAAGCAGGAAAGAGTATCCAATGGAAAAAAAGATAGTCACTTTAGCAAATGGTGCTGGGAGAACTGGACAGCAACATGCAGAAGAATGAAACTGGACCACTTTCTTACACCATACACAAAAAGAAATTAAAGATGGATGAAAGATGTAAATGTGAGACAGGAAACCATCAAAATCCTGCAGGAGAAAACAGGCAGCAACTTTTGACCTCAGCTGCAGCAACTTCTTACTTGACATGTCTCCGGAGGCAAGGGAAACAAAAGCAAAACTGAACTATTGGGACCTCATCAAGACAAAAAGCTTCTGCACAGCATAGGAAACAATCAACAAAACTAAAAGGCAACCGACAGAATGGAAGAAGATATTTGCAAACGGCATATCAGATAAAGGGTTGGTATCCAAAATCTATAAAGAACTTATCAAACTCAACACCCAAAAAAACAAATAATCCAGTGAAGAAATGGGCAGAAGACATGACATTTTTTAAAGAAAATATCCAGCTGGCAAACAGACACATGAAAAGATGCTCAACATCACTCATCATCAGGGAAATACAAATCAAAACCACAATGAGATACCACCTCACACCTGTCAGAATGGCTAACATTAACAACTCAGGCCACAACAGATGTTGGCGAGGATGTGGAGAAAGGGGAACCTTTTTGCAGTGTTGGTGGGAATGCAAGCTGGTGCAGCCACTCTGGAAAACTGTATGGAGGTTCCTCAAAAAATTAAAAATAGAACTATCCTATGACCCAGCAATTACATTACTAGGAATTTATCCAAAGGATATAACAATGCTGATTTGAATGCTGACTTGAAGGGGCACACACACCCCAATGTTTGTAGCAGCACTATCAACAATAGCCAAATTGTGGAAAGAGCCCAAATATCCATCAACTGATGAATGGATTAAGAAGATGTGGTACACACACACACACACACACACACACACACAGGAATACTACTCTGTGATGAAAAAGAATGAAATCTTGCCATTTGTAATAATGTGG